CTTATGATATACATTCAACAGCTGAAATTGTTCCTATGTATATCCTGCCTATACTAGGTCATGGATGACTATTTGGAAAGGAGTAGAGTGCATTTTTTAACCCATACATAATTCAGAAAGTGTCATCTATCTAATATGACACTGAGCTTAGTCTCTCTGATACCTTTGCCACTGTGTAGCAGCTGCAATTCGAGAACTCCCACAAGGCACCTTTCCATGCTGGCAGCCTGTTTCAGAGCACACCAGCACCTATGTGCCAACTTCCTGCTGTGTGCTTTGCATCTTCCCACTGAACCAGCCTCTCTCACCACACGTCCCGATAATGACAAAAGATGCTATTTGACTATTTCTGTGTCTGTAGTTAATTTTCTGTTTAAAAAAAAAAAAAATCAAAATGCTGCTACTGTTATTAGTAACAGCACTTTGCAGCGCTTTCTCTGTCTCAGAATACTTTACCTGAGAAGTTTAGTTGCTACTTTTGTGTCTCTTTTCACAGAAGGAGAAGCTGGAGATGTTGACATGAGGCCTGGAGCCTAGCTTCCCAGTGGAGGTACCAGCATAGAAGACTCACAACCATCTCCTATCATCACTTTCACTCCTGAGAGACGAGGGCCAGACCTGTAGCATGGTCGCAAACACAAATGAAGCTTGTGTAGATGTACCCGAGCTTCAGAAATACAGGCTCAACCTTCAGGAGTTCCTGTTAATTTGCTCAGTGTTCACACAGGGTGTAGCATAGGGGCTACCATCAATTGCTATGCCTCCTGGGTGCTGCTGCAATACAGATATCAGCCACCTTTCTTTTTCTCAGGGTACCTTTATCAGTACAGCTGAAGAGAACACTGTGTGGGCTGTGAATTCCTCTCCAAGATCATGTAAATACTTGGATGGTTCGTGCTGGTCCCTGAGCTGTTGATGCTAGTATTAAACTAACTAGCTAAAGCCGGTTTGCATACATTTGCAGCTACAGCAGAAGTTAAATGATAAATATTCCCAAATGTAGCTATGCAAATAGTGGCACATTCTGAATAAATACATGAAATGTATTATAGTAGTAAAAAAATCCTTCTCTTTTTCCTTTAAGAAAAAACAAAGGATGATTTTTCCTTTATGGCACAGGCCAAGTTCTCTTTTATAAACTTTAGAATTTCATACATCTTAAAGTACAAAAGGACTGTAAAACTATGTTAAACATTCAAGGATTATTTTAGTATGGACCGTGTTAAGCTACTGATATCTTTCTATTCTACCCTCTGATTCAGGGGCACATAATGGTAGTTGTAAATAGAGGATATTGTGTAAAAAATTAACAGACAAAACCACCCACCCAAACAAACAAAGCCACATGACCTTCATCATACTGTAAAAGATGCTAAAAACTGGAATTGCAAATGGTAACAATCCCATCCATGTATAAATCCCAAAAAGGAGAGAGAGAGCATTCTTGGAAATGGTGCCACCCCTAAAGACACAGCGTAGGAAATTGTCTCCTCTTGGTAGTGGCCTTACTTGTGCCTAAAATAATTCATCTCTGACTTAAAAGCCAATAAAATCAGCTTCAGCCCAGGCTGAAGGGAATGGCTGCTGTTCTGGTCAGCTCCAGAGGGGTTCACTGGGCTGATACCTCCATTCCTCTATAACAGTCTACCTCCATGAATGGTTATGGAAGTATTTTTTTATGGTTGCTGAGAACAGAGAGAGCTGGGAAGGAGACATGCAGCTCTGAGGGCTGGAGTTTGGTGGCATGAATCTGCTTCAGCTGCCATGCCATCTCAAGAAGATAGATGAAAATGAGTACTTATCCAAAGAAGGGGGAGAAAAGGACATCCTGGGGCTTATAACCATGCTGACTGTATATGATTTACTAAACTCTCTCAAAGAGGCAATGTTTTGTTTCCCTACCAGAGCAGACAGGCCTGTCCTGAGAAAACCAAGTATTTAATTGTGGGTGACTAATAACTGGTGTAATGAATTAAAACCTGTATGACTAAGTCAAGTGCAAGCCTTTCAAAGTGTGAGTATCTTCTTAAAAATGAGGTTTAGCAAATGAACAAAGAACTCCCAGAAATACTGAATTTGTTTCCTTGGCATTTCAGTAATTGTTTGACCTGACCATTTCAAATTACCACTTGAAAGAAACAGAGATATTCAGGAAGGCAGGTACTCTGTATTTCCAAGAAAAAATACTTTTCTAAAATAACATAGTGCTTAGTTATAGCTATCCAAAAGGATATTATGCTGAGCTGTCATATTTTGAGTTGCAGCCTTTTCATACTGCTGAAATATCAGTACTATATGTACTGCATGTATATATAGTTAACTCTTGGTTTCCTTGTGTGATATGGAGTCGAAAACCTGTATAATGTACTAACATGACCAGAAAAACACTGTCACATACCCCTACCCCTCGAAAAAAATTCATTGTTAATAAGGCTAGATATGTAGACTGAGGAATAACCAAAAAGAAAAATGAATGGTATGGCAGGTCATGGTATATATATGTATTTTAAAACATACTGATTTATTGTTAAAGTTGGAAAACAGGAGGACAGTGAGACTATGAGAATATTGAATTTGCAAAAACATTTGACACTGTAAATTATATTTTTTTGAGTATTTGCATGAAAAATAGGGTTTCCAGTGATAATTGGATATTTTCTCTAACATTTACTGTCCTTACTCTGTATCTTGATGATTATTTACTGATTTGTTTATTTTTTTTCTATTCTGAAAAAACTAGACTAATTTCAGCTAGGAAAAAAGTCAGCATAAAGGACAGACTAGTATTCACCATGGAGGATATGAATAATCAGAAGCATTTTCATTATACAAATTTGTTGCTTACAGACACTAAAAAGGTGCTAACGCAATGGATCTTTAAATATTATTAAGAAGTCGTTGAGTGTATTTGTACATAGTCCTCTAGCTTTCATTCATTTCCATTTATAACAATTCATGTACCATGTGATAAGCCTTTGACATACATCTATAACCATTGAGATTTGTCACACTGAGCTGAGTACTATCAGAACTCCCAGATCCCATTGGCTGAAGTTAAACATCCCTATGAATCACAGCTATTGTGTTACCAGACAGCACGGCAAAAAATTAACCAGAGCAAAACACTTCACTTGATGCTGTTACAGCTAATAGGTCTGAAATGAAAGATAATTGCATATTAAAATAGAGTGGGTAGCTCTGTTTTGATGTAGAGATATAAAGATGTCAGGCAAGCTAGTCTGTAGCAGGAGGGAATGGGTGCCCTGGAGTGATTGAGGATTGAAGCCCAGGAGAGCATTCCTCACATTCCTGTGGCACTCGCCCTATGCATATGCCCCACAAAAAAAGGGAACTTCAGCACTCCGTGTTGGTAAACTCAGCTTTGGAAAAGCTGACACTTTTCTATAGCTGCAGGCTTGATTAATTTGAAGAAATTATACCCTCTGAATGATGAACACGAGGCATATTTAAACTGTTATTTTTTAGGGCAAAGGACATTACATTATCAATCTGTTAGTTAGGAAAAAAATCCCCCCAAAGGACTACTAATAAACTCCAACAAGCAAGATGTAGAGAATGTGGAGCCCTCCTTAGTATTTTGCCATAATCTGCTCAGAATGATTGGTATTACTGCAAAAATATTTTGCTGACACATATGAGTGGGATTAGCCCGAAAAGCTATCTTTGTTAATGAGCCATATCTAGAAATTCAGTAGGTTTAGAAGATTAGTCTGAAGACAGAGCATTTTTGAGAGCCATGTATGTCTAAAAGTGTAAGATTTTGTCTCCTGAGACCAGCAGTGTATGTTTTATAAGGAAAAGATTGTTATCCCTGGGACTTTTCACAAATAAAAAAATCAAATAAAGATGACACTACCTTACTTGGGATTGAAATGTGACTGCTAGTGACTGGGAGTTAAACAGATTTATTAGTGTTGACATTATTTACATTGTGTGATCTGTATCAGTGAAGGGTACACATCGCTTGTGAAGGCAAATACATTAATAGTATTACCCTGCTGCTAATGGCACGTTAATAATACTTCCATGATTCGCGTTTGTCAAGCTGCTGCTGGGACGTGCTCAGTATCATGGTAAACAAAGAAAATCAGCCATGTTGCGAGACCCCTTATTCTTTAAAAACTTAAGTTCAAGTGAGAAGAATCCACTGCTAGATAATCCCCAGAAAATTGATAAAATAAAGATTTCACATCCCTTCCTCGTTTTTATCCCATATAACAATGACAGAGGGGACAGCCGGCTGGTATGGACTACTTTTGAGAAGTGTGATAACAGGTGGGCTCCCAAAAGTCACTAGATCCAGCAGATCGAGTCTTTATTTATAGTTTTTTTTCAGTGTCCAGCTTGCTCAGCACCAGGATCCATCTACAGGATGCACGGCCAAAGCTATGGTGATGCGCGTGTCTTAGGACGATGGCGGCAGCAGCCGGTCAGACCGTGTCTTATTTTTTTTTTTTTGTTTTTCCGGTTGTTAAAACCCAAGGAAAGGATGTTTCCAGGGGAGGATGCTGAACCACTGCCGCAGCAGGAGTACCCCGCCGGCCCGAACCCCCAGCACCCGCCCCACCGCTCCTGCCTCCCGTCCCGCCTCCACCCGCCCCCGCCGCTCCAGCTCCCCGAAGCCAGCCAATTCCCCGCCGCCCGAGGCGGCGCGGAGCCCCATCAGCCCGATGGGAGGAGGAGGAAGAGGAGGGAGCGGCGAGGACGGTGACCCAGGGGGATTGCGGCGGAGCGGGCCGGCGGAGGCGTAGAGCCGGGTCGAAGATGGGAGCGCGACCCTTGTCGCCGGCCGCTGCCCACCGTGCGTGGGCTCGCCGGCCGCCTCCAACTCCGGGCGGCGGCGCTGACTTGAGCCCCGCGGTGCCTCCGCGCCGCCTCCAGGCTCCTCGCCCAGCGCCCGGCCGCGCAGGCCAGCCCGGCCGCCCTCCCCCATCGCCTCCCGGGCGCGGCGGCGGACGGCGGGGCAGAAGGGGAGCGCGATGGCGTCTACGTGGGATAACAAGCGTTCCGCCCAGGACGGTGATGAACAAGACCCGGCCGAGCGCAGCCCGCCACCCGTATGGGGGCAGAGGGGGCGGGGGGCGCCCTTCCCCGCAGAACCCCGCGGAACAACCGCGCATCGGGGCGGTGGTGGCGCGCCGCACTCCGCCGCCCCGCGCAGCCCCGGCCCGGGCAGCACCGGGAGCGCCGCGGCGCCCCGCGCGCTCCCCCGGGAGCGCAGCTGCTCCCGAGAGGGGTGCCCCCCCGCCAGCCCCACTGAGCTCCCCAGCGCTGAATTCCCGGCCGGCAGCTCCCGGGAAGGGAAGACGCGCGTTAGCGCGACAACTTTCCTTCTACTCACTAATTTTGGGGGAAGAAGAGGGATAAACGCCAACTGGGTTTGTTTTGAAGGTTGCTTCCGGTAAAAAGAAAAATGCACTTAGAGTATAATTTTTCGTTTGGCTTTTTCTTTTCGTGCGTGTTTTGTTATTGCCCCGGAGTACGCTGTGGCTCCGGATTTGAATTCAATCCCTACTTTTACATAGCTGGCTAGAGCTGGCAGCGCTGTTTCATAATGTAAGGGCTGAGGTCAGTGGTATTCTTGGCAAGTCCTTGCTCTCCAAAGTAGGGTGAAATCCTTACACAATGGCACCAGGCAGGAATTTTTTAGATACCTGCGCCGGGCTCCTGGAGCCCTCTTTGTCAGAGGAGTGTGTGAGTTTAAGCTGTTTGTAAGCGTAGTTGCACTTAAAGAGGCTGAGAAAGGTTAAGCTGGGGACCGGCGTGCGTACAGAAACATTTTGACTTAACATGACCTGAAAAACAAGTAAACTGAATGAGTTCCTTCTGCTCCCGAACGCTTGCTGCAGTGGCTGTTGCTGCCAACTGTCTAAAGACTAATAAGCTTTACACTGATCCCCACATCAAGCTGCGGTTCAATAGCTAATGATACAAGGAGTTACTTTGCTTGGAGTTGTAATGCCATCTGTCCTATTTTCTAAAGGCTTGTCCTGCTGTCTGAGCAGTCCCTGTATTCGGGTTTTGGGGAAGAAATGTTACTGATTGTTTTGGCAGGCGTCTCACTGGCTGGGGATGATTTAAAATTGGGGTCAAAGAGAAAACCTTGACTTTCGGTCACCACCCATAAGTCATTCCTCCTACTATAGATACGTCATTGTGGTAATGTTATTTTTATCCTCATGCTCGTGGAATATGTGTGAGAAAATAAAACTTCTCATGGAAAAACATACTGACTGCATAGGCATTGTATGTAGCGTGTCTTTGGCAAATCTTTTTTTTTTAAATTCTATTTTACAGGAAAAAAGAAAGCTGCTTCTGGAACTTGCTTTTGTGGTGCTAAAGTTGTTTCTCTGTCCTTGTTTGACCTTTCCAAAAATGTCTGTTTGCCTTCTGTGCTGGACCCAGCCCTTCAGTGTGTTGTGAAAGCTGAAGGAGGCCAAGTGTGCTCTACTGGGGAAGACAGTCTCTGCAAACTTGTAGCGAGGTCACTTGTGTTGGTAGAGGTGTAAATTCCAGCTGGGGGAGCCTACCAGCAATGTCCATCCTCAGGAGATGGTTATCAAAGGATGATTGGGTGTTCAGGAGTAGTGAGGCTGGCAGATGCTCAGAAACTAGTTGATCAGGTTGTGGGGCCACCAGCCTGGGCTGGGGGGACAATGCTTTCCCTGTGGCGTGGTCTGTGCCATGTGAACTGTTAAACTTTCTCATTCCCTTACCAGTTGGCCTTGCTGTCTAGAAGGGATAATAAACAAACAAAAAAGGCAGAAAGTAAGAAATGACGCAGTGAAGAATCCAGCCTGAATGAAGGGATAAAGCCTATGTGAAGGGCACAGGGCAGAGAGCTAAATCGGGAACACCAGGGCTGCGTTAATGCTGTAAAACTTCCCGAATCAGCAGACTGGCAGCCTGCTGTGGCAATCACGGCAGGAAAAGAAGCCCACCCTTAAATCCATGAAACTGACACTGACCCAAAATAATCCACAAATAATACCAAATTTGTGGGAAACATGATGTGTTTTCAGCACTGGAAATACTTGAAACTGGTAGTCAGGCGTGCCTCCCTGTTGCTGCTGGGGAGAGCAAGGCTTGCAGCAGAAAACTTGGTTGATATTTTTATGAATAACTCATGTTGAATTGTGTATGTTGGTTCTCTGTTCTGGAAGTTTGATTTTATTTTACAGTAGTATTGGAATTTGAAAGAAATATGCTTATGTATATCATCTTTCATTGTTAAGTAAATGGAAAAAAAATACAGAAAGGTACCAAGACCTTGCTTCTCCTTCCTCCCTTAAAGTAACTTTTTATTGTCTCTTTACTTGTATTTTCCTGTCCTTGCAATGCTATCTCATAAAGATAGTTATTTAATTTTGGCTTTTGGGAAGTCATGAGGTCTCTTTAAAGTTGAGAGAGAGTTGGAAAGAAAAAATATATTTATCATATTCATGTCAGTACAGGAAATAGCAAGAGAAGTATGTTAGTAGCATATTTGCTGCTTACTTGCATTAACAAACTCTTTGGGGCTCAGCTTCTCCCAAATCACGATGAACTAAATATCTGTTTGACATTACTATTCACCCTGGATTGTCAGGGTGCAAATTTGGCACAATGCCTTCACTGCAGGCTCAGAGGAAAGGAGTGACAGTACGATAGCCACTGTGTATGGCTTTGAGAACTACTAAGTCTGATACACGTTGTTGGAGAAAGCAAACTTAACTTGGTATGAACTTCTGTAGTGCAAAAATCTCTTGGTAATTTTGGACTGGACTGATTTTTTTTTTTTTTTCAAATAGGTAAACAGTGTATTCTGCACTTGCTTTAGTAAATTCTTAACTTTGTATCTCTTTGGTGTATCCTCCTTTACAGAGTTTTCCTGAATTTTGTGAATTACAACTCAATATTCTGTTGGCTAAAGAAACTAATAAATGATTAAAAAAAAGAATGTGTATGACCTGCTCTTTAACATGCCTGTTGTGTAACAGAGCTCTCCTCTTTAATTGCTGTATTAAACTATTCATTTTCTCTTTGAAGACGTGAACTAGGAAGTTAATTTAACTACTTTGGGGAATCTAACTTTTAAATGTTCATAAATTACAAATGGTTTTCTGCCCTTAAGCTGTGAGTAATAGCAATCTATTTTTTTTTCTCCGAATGTTGTCTTACGTGGACTGTTATAGCTTTAAGTCTTTTCAAAACAAATTCTTATTGGCATCATAGGCCAATTTAGTAAGCATGCAGTTTTATACTGGTGTAACTTAATCTGAAAAAATAGGGCTGCTTTTGTTTTCAAACAAGAGAAACCGAGCCCTAATCTTTCTTTATGCTAACAACTCATTTGCATGGCATGGTATGTGAACAACTAGTTACTTCAGAAACTCTGCATACTAGTTCACTGTTTTTATGCCATGTAGTGACGTCTGCAGGAAGAAAATTTTTTAATGTGTGACTTCATATATGTTAGATGCCTAAGGTTTTCCTCAGGAAACTGCCAGTGTGGTACATTGAGGCAATTCAGTACAGCAGTAACGAGTAGCAGAGATATAACAGCATCAGACCACATCTTGAGGGCAGACGGGAGAACTGTACAGTAGCCCTTAGTTTGATACTAGTGCGTCATTTAATGTCAGAAGACATCTAAACAGGATGCTGTTGTTAAGCAGATACTCCCTTCTTGAACACTTGAGAGGAACAATGGTTTAATTATAGGATGTACCTATGCGTTTTCCAAATAAACTTTCAGCTTGTTCCCCAGTTGTGTTATTTTTATACTTGTAACCAGTCATAGCATGATTGTGTGCAATCTTCAGATAAGCCAGAAATGAACATTTCCTTCTTGCTATAGTGATCTCTTAGCAAATAAATACAAGGCTTTGTAGTTTAATGGGATCATAGAAACTAAGCGTTTTATGTATGAGTCTAGCAAAAGAATTTAGTCTTTAAATTCAGGCTGATCATGGTCTTTATACCAAATACACCAGAAGACTAAAATGATCTTTTTCAGAAGAGCTTGTTTGGGATTTCTTTCTTTTGGAAAACAAAAATATTTTGGAGCTTGAGCATTACTTTCAGATTTTCTTCACTGTCAGCATGCTAGCATGTTACCATCTTTTTGAGGCTAGCATTTGAAGAGGAGGGTAACCCCTGTTATCACACTGCTAACAGCAGTATAATGCTGAGAACTGATTCCGTTGCTAAATTCTCCTGCTGGTTCTTGGAAGCCCTGAAGAGCGAAGGACTGTGACAGCTGATGCCTGGTATTTGGCTGCATTGCATTGTTATAATGTCTTTCCATAATACATCTCAGAGCTTTGTAATGTGGTTTTTCAGGGGTAGCCTTAGCTTGCAAGGCTTGATATTCTGTTTCTTTGATGGGAGCCCATTTGACCAACAGAATTAGATTTCTGACTGCACTTCCTGTGGTAATGTTCAGGCTTTCTGCTGTCTGCAGTGACTAGTTCTGAAGTGGGGGCATGAGCCTGTTACGTTTTGTGTTAACGTTGGGAGCAATGTTAGTAATACAGCTTAATGAAGAAATGTTGCTAGTTCTTGGTCCAGGCTTCTCTCTTGCTTGGCAGTCAGCGGGCTTGAAGTAAAATTGCCGTTATAAAGTCATCTGTAAGGGTAGTTGACCTGACCAAAAAAACACACCAACCCTTTAGATGCTGCAGGGTTTTGGAAACTTGTTCAAAATAGCTAACATCCCCTGAATGTTCTGATGAACTTCAAGCTAAGTGATGTCTCTTGGGGTGTAAGTAGGGCAGGAGGATACTTGTGTCTGAAAAAGAAGTTATAACAGACACAAGTATCTAGAGACCTTTATCCATAGGGGTTTTTCTTGTTGTGTTTCAGCACTAAACTGGGAACATAAAACCCAAAGTAACTACTGGGAAAAAGTGATACCTTTCCCTGACAAAGCAAATAATGTATTTGTTTGGTACAGAAATAATATCACAGAATGTATTTTTGAAGTAAGTGTACTTTTTTTTCCTCTTAATGTTTTTTTTCTCAAGCTAGTATTGCTATGCAGCATAATTTCATATGCAACAAACTTAATTGTGTGAATATATCTTTTTGTGGCTGATAACGAAAACTGAAACCCTTTGCATAGCTCAGATTTTCTTGTGACCTCTCTAATCTCAGTCTGTTAAAACAGTCCTGGAATGTTTGATTCTGAACTTCCACTGTCAGTTTTCATGTCCTTCCCAAAAGTAAGGGTATGTGCTGCAATGGGCTGCTCAGTATCCTGTTTGTTTTGAAAGAAACTATGTTTATTTCCCAGTCTTTCTGATGGGAGGTGTGTGTGTGCATTTTCCCATAGCCATTCATATGTTTGTTGCCAAGAGCTTTGAGAAGGGCAAGAGTATTGAATTTTAATTTCTTT